AGAAACTTTTGATTTCACGATTGTGGATGAAGTTGGGGTTAACAGGGGGATGCGTGTGTTTCCAAAGCAGAGTTTTATTTGAGTGGAGTAGGAGCTGCTGGCTCACATTTAGCCATTCTTGAACATGAGCAGCCAAAAGACGATGCATCAAGTGACGGGGTTCTGGAGTATTAGTTAATTCGTACAGATAAATTGCACGTCGACCTAGTAGTTGTTTCTTGAGATCTAGTAGTAATAATAATAATTGTATTCTCGATGAGGATAAATCCTTCGCCCATTTAATAGAGCAATCATCCCGATAGAAGCTATGTATTTTATATGAATATATAAATAATAATAATAATAATAATAATAATTGTATTCTCGATGAGGATAAATCCTTCGCCCATTTAATAGAGCAATCATCCCGATAGAAGCTATGTATTTTATATAAATATATAATCTACTCCAAAACCGCCTTGTTTGATAGGAACGTACCAAAAATTCCGGAATAGTCAGTATATTAGAGCATGTCCATTTTTTCTTCAAATAAGCCATCCTAGTATAGTGGTCAGTACTCTGCTTTGTGGCAGCAGCGACCCAGGTTCGATTCCTGGGGATGGCACTTGTTTTTTATATTCTTTTTTTTGTCTCACAAAGTTTCGTGTTTTTGTACTACAGAGTAGTCCCTTTATCATTATCACCATGATAAACAGTCTTTATTTTTTTTATATTACACCAGTTTTCGAGGTTAATTACAGGATATCGAGTGTAAAATGCTATTTTCGATATCAGTTGGTCAATAATAACTAATAATGAAACTTAAAGTGACGATAGATATTCCCACAGAGTTAAGGAAATGCCTAGGTTTCCTTCTCAATGTTAGAAAATTGTGTGTTTTCAGATTCACTGGAGAGCAACTTATAATCATATCCTCAGCTGTCAATGAACCACAGGTATGGTGTAAGATAGATAAGACGCTGTTCCAGATATACGAAGTTGATTCAACAAGAGATAACGTTATTCCATTTGAGATCAATATCGAGCCTTTATTTCAAGTATTGAGGAATTTTGAGAAATCCATGGCTACTAGCAATCTTTCGATGAGATTACAGAGAAGACCCAACATTGGTGATTCTGTATCTGAGAGCAAGAACAAAGCTGCTGCATCGTTAGCTCTTTTCTATACGGAGCAGATATCTATAACTTCACAAGTGAGTCATTCGTTCAATGTACCCGTGAGACTTTTGAAGATGGAGAGCGATGAGAGGATTCAAGAACCAAGTATCAATTTGATGAAGCTTGCTATGAAATTACCGTCCAGAATCTTACCATTATTCAAGAGAATAGAAAGGTACAAAACATCAGATACGATTACTTTAACTGGAAATAAACTGGGCCAATTGAGGTTTACTATTGAAGAGGATCAAAGGAAAATGGAAATTCAATGGAAAGAGAAACTTGAAGTCAGTCCTGATTCGATTGAAAATCAAGACGAAAGTGAGATGGATGAAGATCCCAACTTGACTCATGCTGATAGGATGCCAGAATTGAGTAGACCGATAAACTTGAGAGTCAAGTTGAAGTATTGGAATATCGGAACTAAACTTATCGAGTTATGCGATGCAATGTCTTTGATCGTTCATGATGCAGGTGGAATCTTACATTGTTATATCGATGTGGAACAGAAATGTGATATTGCTTATTATATTAATGGCTACCAAAATCTTGAGTTGTAAATAAAGCTTTTCTATATAAAAATTAGACATACATACAAGCTATCTTTATAGATGTGATTGAGCAAATTGATCGATATACTTACATAACAGTTCTGTGCTCTCCAAAGAGACAGAGTTATATAATGATGCTCTCATACCACCAACTGATCTATGACCTTGTAAACCAGTCAAACCTTGTTCTTGAGCTGATTTTAAAAATTCAGATTCTAATGAATTATCTTTGAAAGTGAACACAACGTTCATCTTGGATCTGACAGAAGGTTCAACAGGCAAGTTGAAAATAGTTGGATATTTATCTAGAGTACCATATAAGAGTTCAGCTTTCTTTTTATTGATTTGTTCTTGAACTTCCAAACCACCATTTTGTAATAAATTCTCAATAACCAATTCAACAATACGAACGGTAAAGATTGGAATGGTATTATAAGCAGAGTCATTTTTAACAACTGTAGGGTAATCAAAAGCAATTGGTGATAAAGGAACACCTAATTTTTTCAATTCTTGATCTGATGCAATATCTAACAATGATTTCTTAATGATATACACAGAGATACCTGCCAATCCAACATTCTTTTGAGCACCGGCTAAGATACAACCATATTTGCTAACGTCGATTTTCTTAGATGCAAAGTTTGAAGACATATCAGCAACAATTTCAACACCTGGGAATTTTTCAAATGGGAATTCATCAAATTCAACACCATTAACAGTTTCATTATCACAGAAGTAAACATATGGAGTGTTTGTTAAATCACTTGGGATATTCCATTTTTCAACGGAAGGAATAGTACCGAATTTCCCATCCACTTCTTTTGAGTTTAAGATGACATCACATTCAAAACCTAATCTGACTGCTTCTTCATATGATTTCTTAGACCAAGTACCAGTAACAACGTAACCTGGCTTACCTGCTTTTCCAGTCTTTTTGACAAATGCGGCAGTCAAGTTAGTTGCAACAGAAGAGAAACCAGTGGTTCCTCCACCTTGCATGAAGAAAACCTCATGAGTGTCTGGAATATCCAAGAGCTCAGTCAAGTACTTCTTAGTATCTTTAACAATATCTTTAGCTGGGCCTGAACGATGACTGATTTCTCCGGCACCTAAACCAATAGAGTTGTAGTTTAATAGATCTTTGGCAGCTTGTTGTAAAACTGAAGTAGGTAGCTTGGCAGGACCAGCACCATAGTAATTAGGTTCTGCTCTTTCTAAAGTCATGATTGTGAAGTTTTAGCAAAAGAAATGTGTTTTTGTTCTGAAATCAATGAAGTTGATAGACATATATATATTTATGAAGTATCTTGGAGATGCCATGTTCCATTTTTCAATTGGCATCGAGCACAGCCTTGAAAATTGAAATAAATTTATTGACTCATCTGGCCAAGTCAGTCAGTCAGTTGCATTTAATCTGCCCTTATTATCAGGAAACGATTTGTGATATCATTAATGAGGTGTGTTGTTTAGTGAATACACCATTGGTTAGAAATTTCATACAGGTTACTATAATACAACTTAGAAAACATAAACGCTTAACTATAAAACAGATATACATACACCATAAATCTGCGGGAATATGACCCAGCAGGAAAATATAAAAAGGTCATAAAAAATGTACACACTCTAAAAAGGAAACAAGACGAAAGGGTTCAAAAAGAAACAGAATAACAAATACTAAATCAAGACTCAATCATTCCTTTTTGTTATCTAAAGTAAATTTGTTGTATGATTCAGCTTTCTCAAATAACACACCGTTAAATTTCCCATCATTTAACATTTCTCTAGAGGTTAGATAGTCTAAAGGACATAATTTTGGCCAGTTAACATATTGAACACCTTGAGACACGATTGTCTTGAAAGTATAAGCAGCAATTGCAGAAACCAACGATAAGAATGCAAAATTACGAGATTCAAATAGTGATCCATTTGGATACATTATGGTAGTAACCAATATAAACAACGATGCCATCAAACCATAAGGCATGGCTTGCGTTGAAGAAGGTCTCATATCTTGGAATGGAGATGTTGCATTTTCATAAGGTAAAGTATTTCCCAGGAATAAATCATAACCATCTTGTCTTGGACCATCTTTATAGTTGTTTTTAATGTATCTTGTAATTGAATTCACAAGATCATTCAAAGCACCAGCTTTAGTTCTACTACCAGTTCTTGTGAAATCAGTCTTTAAAGCTCCAGTACCGGAATATGAACTTGAAACAGCATCAGCATTATCAGCCCATATATTCATGAAAATGAGATTGAATGCAGGATCAATAATTTCCCAATCTTGTTGACCTGTGATGATTCCAGAATCGGTTAATTGCGATTGCAAAAAGTAACGACCCATCATCGATTGAACAACGTTGGTTCTATCTAAACAATCCATACAATTAGTTCTAACAACATGACTTTGTTTCTTTGTAACGATAAACTTTTCCGTAACTGTAACGGCAGAGTAATCTTTATTAGATAAACCAATTTCTGTCAAATGATCAATTAAAAGTTTAACTCTATGCCATCTCATATTCCTACATTCATGATGGAAATCAAAGTATGTATATTTAATTTCTTTATCGTCTAATGCAGTAACAGCATTTTCATAAGCTAATTTAACAGGCATTTCATAACCTTTTTGATTCACTAAATTCACTAAATAATTTGTACCGTAATTTGTAACCGATTGATTGAAATGATGTCTAGTAGCAGTATAATCTGAAGGACCCATCAGTAAATTTGGTTTATATTTCAGATTATTCAATTCAGCCCAGAAAACAGGAACAGAACCTCTGATTTGTAAGTATGAATGAACATGATCCTCATCTCCACGATGAATTATTAGTAGTTGTTCAGTTTCATTGAAATTAGCAACATTGCCTTCTTCATCTATACCTCTTCTGAAATATCTAGTACCTGCTCTTAATCTGGATCTTCTTGTAATCAAACCAAAAGTAACTCTTTTTGAATTGATGGTAGTTGTAACAAATTTAGAGTATCCATAAATGCAAGGTAATATGAAATTGTTAGCAAATGGATCTATAGAAGCTAGTTTGAACAAATCTTGAGACACAAAATAATTCCACATGAATTTATCATCAATCTGTGCTTCATTTTGTTTAATGTAAGGTTTAGTTAAATCATAATTATATGAGAAGAACAAAGTGGCATTATTTAAATGTGATTTCAACAATTCTAAATATTTAGTCTCATCACTATCAACTTGATATTTTGATGCTGATAAAGGTAATATTGAAAAAGCAGTAACTTTACAGATTTTTTGACCTTGAATAACTCTACCAACCTCGGATGCACCATCGGCAGTAATTAAATAGTGATTCGTATGTAAGTGAATGATCCCAATAATACCAGCAATGGATCTAAATGGTTTATTAACTGGATACTTTTCTTTATCGATGAACTCACAGCTACCGGTGTTGGTAACAAGTAGAGCTTTTGAAGATTCCGAGGAGGGTAAGACAACAACGTAACCTGACTCGGTTTCAGCAATTGATAACGACGTTGAACTAACCATTGTATATATATCAATGATTTATACCAACTTGAATGACTGTGTTTCCGTGTATATTGAAGAGATCAAAAGGGGAACGGGAGTGATCAATGATAAACAACTCGAATTTGAAAAGACAGAGAATCAAGAAATTATCAAGTTTGTGGTGTACGGGTGTGAGAATCGATCTATTTTCAAAATACTTTATTATTATGTGTTTTCAATTACATAGTTTATACATAGTTTATATTATATTATATTATATTAGGGTGATTGTTTAGTAGTCTAGTACGTTCTTCACAGGGAAGTCATTGATGGTTGGAACAGGAATCTCAGGAATCAAATAAACCAATCCATTCTCATCGATTCTTTCTCTATCTTTCTCAC